TTATTTTTAATTATTTATTTTAAAATAATTATTTTGTTTTGTTTATTTAATTAATATATATTTAATTTTTCACAAAAATCCCTTTACCTCTGAAAGTATTCATTTATCAATGAATATCTTTAATTGTCTTGAAAAATAAAAAAATTCTTTGCTCACAATTTTATTTTCTACAGTTAGCTACTTTCAAAATCCCTATCCCACCGACTTTTAATGTCTTATACGCATTATCCCATCACCTTGAATTATTATGTTCTGATTCTTGGTAATTAAATCGTTTCGGCCTTTGTAATAAACAGACTTTTAAAGACAAAATTAGTAAAGCAGCACTTACTACCCAGTTGGTTAAGACCTTGACTTATGAATTACAGTTGAGGATTTTCTAAGAAATATTCGCTTTAATTTGAATAACATTGAAAGCTTCCTCAATTACCATGCTTTTAATACAGTTCACATACGGCAAGCTGAAGCATAAATCCGCTCTAATTTACACGGTCCAAACTCCGACCGATTCTAATATGTATTCACGATTTGACCCTATCGCAAGCTTTTGACTATTTAGCCATGCTCTGTGCCCAGTTCACATAACCAAGCCAACATGATCCGGTAACCTTCGCAGCACAAATCGGACCCTTTTCTTCTCTTCACAGATGCGGATCATCGGGCATATTATTATAGCACATATTTGGGGCCAGCTCTATAAATTTCCGTTGGAAAGCAGCAAAATAGAAACTATATAATTAGTAATGGCTCTAGGTACGCCTGGAGGCGTTCCATTTTCTAAGGCCACAGCCGTAGTACATGACAGCAACAGATGTAGAAGAAGAGAGAAATAAAAAAGCTTCAATGTATTCATCCCAAAAAGCAAAGTCAGCGCAAATGAAACTGAAAACTCTCACACGCCGAACGCGGCCTGAAGATGACAGATGACAATGATATATGGGATTCTTGAAATTGAAACCGAGCTGAGAAGAAACCAATATGTTTGTTTGGTTTGTACAGCGTATGCAAACGTTGAGTACGATGCGATGGCTCATGGCTCATGGCTCTTGGCTGATGGCTGATGGCTGATGGTCGCCGTTAAGAAAACAACTGCAATTGACTTTCGCGTCGTATGACACTTGAAGAGCGCTGGTAGCGATGATGGAACAACAGGCCCAAGGAACCGGGAAGCAAAGGCCCGCTGGAACAGAAACTGGCTAGAACCACTTTCTACCATGAACGCAGCAATTCGTCTTTCGTTTGGGGCAAAGTAAAAGTCAATTTCTTCACCGGCTGTCGCATTATATATAAATAAACTTTTTTTTGGGGCCGAGACGACGACGTTTTAATTTGGTTTTTGGTTTGGTCTTTTAATTTTTTTTCTTCTTTTTTGCTTAATTACGGCATGAAAATCGTAAACCGTTTTATGTTTTTTTAAGGGCAGCGGAACAAGAAAAAAATGTTTGTGCGCTTTTGACAGCCGTTGGGCAAATTTGTTTCTGTCGCCGCTTCTGTGTTCATTTCTTTGTTTGTTTGTATGTTGGCTTGTTTTGCTTGGGTCTGATGAAAAGGAAATGGGAAATTATTACGAAAATTATGTTGCGCTGCCTGGGAAATTGGGCCATACTAAGCGAGAAGTAAACAAAAAACATAAACAAAAGACTTAAGACACAAACTCGAAGGCAACGGCGGCGGCAGCTGCGCCCGCATCCCATTCAAGCAACAAATTAATTATAACATGCAGCCGTAGTGGCAGCGGCAGCGGCAGCGGCAGCAGCTGCCCCGCTCGTCTTCTTATGGCCAAGCGCATTAATTATGCCAAAGACAAACAAAGCTGTCGGCGCGGGAGTCTGAGAGCCAAGCACAGTGGAACTAGGTTACACACGAAGCCATCGCCATTGCCATCATCATTGCCATCTCGAACTCCATCTCCAGCTGTTGCTGCGAAAGTCGAGCAAGAATTAAGGCTGCCCCATTAAAGTCAATAATATATTAAATATGAAGGAATGTAGTATAAGGTATGATTCTATGTATGGTGTTAAAGATGTACGTAGAGATATGTATGTGATGGAGCAGTTTTACGTTTTTAAAAAATTTAGATTCGATTCCCCATTAAGCTCTTGTGATGGAGGTAAGTTTATTTTTATATATATATATAGCATTATTTATTTGCACTGTTAATACTTCAAGGGAGGGTCGATTTTTAACGTATCCGCTTCTCTTCCTTGTTTGCTATTCTAAGTAAATATTTGGATTTGGATTAATTTTTGAATGGCCAATAATGTCTGTATTTCGTTCAAAAAATATATACTTAAGCCATGCTCTCAATTTAATTTTAATAAATATATTTGTTCAAGTTAAAATTGTATGTTTGCAAAATATAGAAATGAAAAATTGTATTTTAGACCATTTTATTTTATTTTAAGATAAGATTATATAAAATAATATTTTATTCCTAGTAATACTTATATATAT